TGAGTGCCATGCCCCTTGTGCCTCCCGCATCCCCCCAGGTCTCCATTCAATGCCCCTCGTGCCTCCCGCATCCCCCCAAATCTCGGTTCAATACCCCTTGCGCCTCCCACATCCCCCCCAGGTTCCATGCCCCTTTAGGAGGAACCGCAGCTGACAGGGCTGGATGAAGCGGGTGGTCCCAGCTTAGAGCTCCAGAGAGGGAGGGGAACAGCCACCACCCCGTGAGCCTGCTGGCACCGCAGGCCTGACGCTCATCCTCGGTGTAGGTGCCTTTGCCTTGTGCCATGAACCAGGAGGAGGAGAGGGACACGGTGGGATTTGAGGAGAAGCAGCTTCTCACCCCATGGAAGTGGCCAGGGGCTAACGTTGGGCTGGAGCACGGCAGGCGGACACGTGCTGTCCGGGTAGGAGAGCCTGGCTTCGCTCAGCGATGTCACCAAGCCCTAGGGGACGCAACTGGGGAGCCCAGGCGGCGTGGCGGGTGAGGATGGGGGGTGCCGGCCTTCAGGGCCACCTGGGACTCTGCAGGGCTCCTGGGGGGGCTCAGAGGAGGGAGATGGTTGGGTCTTTCCCTCAAACCCCAGCAAGGCTGAGTCTTTCCTCCCTGCTGGAGCACGGCAGGCGGACACGTGCTGTCCGGGTAGGAGAGCCTGGCTTCGCTCAGCGATGTCACCAAGCCCTAGGGGACGCAACTGGGGAGCCCAGGCGGCGTGGCGGGTGAGGATGGGGGGTGCCGGCCTTCAGGGCCACCTGGGACTCTGCAGGGCTCCTGGGGGGGCTCAGAGGAGGGAGATGGTTGGGTCTTTCCCTCAAACCCCAGCAAGGCTGAGTCTTTCCTCCCTTCTCTCATATTAAAGGCAGGAGAAATTGTGCGTCGACTTCAGAGCCCCATTAATTTGCCGATTACCACCAGCGTGAAAGGAGAAACAAGACCAGCGACGTACTTTGAAGACGACAGCTATTTATTTTTGTTTTTTAAAAAAACAACAACAAAAACATCACCCTAAACGCAACCAGCCGACCCAAAAGCTCTGTAAATCCAGAACACTGATGGAAAAGTATTTTGGCTTGCCCACTTTTCCAGCCTCTGCTAAAAAATAGGTGGTGTTACGGCTACAGCAAACGTTAAACCCAAACTAATCGGTAGCCCCATGTTGGGGTGGGGTGGGGGGGAGCCCTGGATTCAGGGCTAATGGGGCTCTTCTGCACGCACCTTTCCTCCATCTCACTACTGGGCAAGCTCACCCGCTCTCCTACAGCAGGAAGGGCATTGATTATAAATAGTCAGAACCACACAGATCACACAGTAAAGTTAAAAAAATACCCCTGGCAACAACAAATAATAACCCATCGCTGAGCCCTGGTGCGAGTGAAGACCAAGTACAGCACATGGTTAAAAAAAGGAGACACCACCACCCCCCCCCCAAACATCCCCCAGCGTCACACAGAAATGGGGGACAACATGCACGTACGCAGAGAGCGACGGAACGCGTGGGCTATGTACAGTTTGTTACACTCGGGCACCCACGCACCTTTTAAGCTTTCATGAACCCCAACCCCTCAGTGTCCCTGATGCTTTCGTGCCGATTTTGTGTCGCCTTCCCCTGCCTCCCTGTCCCAGCTGAAACTCCATGGGAATAGCTCTGAAGATCAAGATGAGGTTTAAAGGTTTTGCCTCTCTTTGGGTCCTCCCTGGAGCCTGCGCGAAGAGCTGGAAGTGAGAGCTGGGCTGCACTGGGTGCTGGGGTGTTGGGAAACGGGTTTCTCCATCTACAAAATCCTTGGCAACGTCCCACGCCTGACACTCAAAGTACGAGAGGTTTCCGCAGGTTCAGAAAAAATCAAAACCAGAAGAGAAAAAAACCCAAACCCTTTGGCATCTGAGGAAAGAGCGAGCTGCAGGTCCCGTCAGCATCGTCCTGGCTCTGGTTGGGATGGAGTTGACTTCTTCCACAGCAGCCCGTAGGGTGCTGGGCTTCAGATTTGTGGCTACAATCCTGCTGACAACCAGTTTCTCAGCACTTCCACAGCATCAAGCCTTTCCTGGTTTTCCCCCCCCACCAATGATTAAGCCATGGGTGGGTGAGAAGCTGGGAAGGGGCGTATTTGAGACGGCTGATAGAGGTAACGATCACCAATAAGGACAGGGGAGGAGGTGTTGGAACGGCGGCTGGGGACCGGCTGAGCTTAGGCCTAATGGTGGGAGGGGGTGAAGTGTTGCCTTTGCATCACTTGGTTTGGTTTTTCCCCTTCCTCTTTCCTTTGCTAATAAACCATCCTTGGTTTGGTTTTTTCCCCCTTCCTCTTTCCTTTGCTATTAAACCATCTTTACTCACAGATTTTCTTGGGTTTGCTCTTCCTAACCCCCCCCCTACCCCGGTCCAGTCCCACTGTTGGGGGACAGTGAGCGAGCAAAGCAGCCGCGTGGGGCTTTGCTGCCAGCTGGGGTTACCCCACCACGAGCGCAGGTTTAAGGTTTGGAGGGGTTGTGGAAGCCATCGGGATGTTGGGTGAAGGAATAACGGAGCATGGTCCTCACTTGGCCAAACTTGGGTGTGAATCAGGTTGACATCGCTGGGTGCCTTAATTACCACGGCTGAGCAGGGACAGTATCACGACGATGGGAACAAGGTGCTCCAGGAAAACTGAGGCAGCACAAAACCCTGCTGCTCCGAGCCCAAGACATCCACGCGCTAACCCTCGCTCTGCCCAACACCGAGCAGCTCCTCAGGAGAGCCGTGGTTGCTGCTCCTCCCCTTGCTGGGAGAGAGGCATTGCCTGCACGCAATTTGGGCGCACACCCAAAGCTCTCGCAGCCCACCCTGCCCACGCTGAGGGGTGACGCCGAGGGACACCGCTCCCGCGCCAGGTGGGTGCCGCGACGATGCAGAAATGCCACGAGCGAAGCTGATGCGGGAGAAGAAACGAAAAGAGGAGAACTGGGTGAGGGCAGAGTATAAACCCAGCCCTCCCCAGCAGCAGAAATAAGCTCAGCTGTACCGGCCCTTCTGAAGTTTCTTGGCATCTTTTGAACCCTGAGGTTGGGCTGGATCCTGGCGGGCTGCAGGCGCACCGGGGGCTCGGCACAGTTCCTTGCAGCTGCCTGCTGGTAAAGAAGCCGACTGAACGCGCTTGTAATGAGGGAAAAAGTAGGAAGCGACTGAAAAGTGGCCTGCAGTGAGGACCTAAGCAAAGCAGGAGGAACCCCTGACACCCTCCGGCTGGTGACGTATCAGAGGACTCAGCGAAGCCTCAACAGCACTTCACCGTCTCCCTGAGAAAGCTGCGAAGGTGACACGGTGGCACTTTCTGTCCCCTCAGCATCACCCTTTTTTGGTTTCCTCATGCTCCCAACTGGGCCCCGCTATGAGTGATGGGGGCTCAGTGGCTTGAGAATCAGCCCTCTGAGCCATTCCCCAGTGGAGGATCTACTGGGCAGACTGGAAGGCTCTAGCTACAGCTCTAACACCCTCCCAGCACAGGCAGTAGGATCAGGCAACAAGGACTCACATTTCCAGGGTAACCAACAACGTGCTGCACAAACAGCAGTTCCCCAGGGCTCAGCCATCTGCTATGGCCACCTGGAGATTAAAGGACGGCACCAAACAGGCTCAGGGTCCAGCTCATCAAAGCCAGGAAGAGTGGAGAACAGCACCACAACACGGCTGGGCTCCTAACAGAGAACTGGGTCAGCATTTACATTACTTAAAAAGGGTTATTCAAAAGAAAAAAAAAAAAAAAACCAAACCAACAAAAGAGGGGGAGAGGTTGGAAGCAAAAGGTGTTGCATAAAAAAAATGCAACCTTGCAAAAATAACCGTATCGTCTCTCCATGATCCATTTTGGGTAGGTTCCCAGCAGAGGCTCCACCTTTCCCAGGAGCTTGGCACAGCCAACACCTCCCCCGTGTTATAAAAACAACCCCCCTCTGGGGGATTCCCTGCTGCTCTGCTCTATAAAACAATAAAAAGGTCCCTGCAGAGAGTCCCCGGCTGTTACTCCTCCTTCGGCCTCTTCCTCCAGCGGGCCAGGAAGGGCCCGAGGCTGTTCCACACCTCCGTGTACATGAGAGTCCCCACGAAGACGAAGGTGGTGCCCAGCCAGTGCCAGGCCGTGAAGGGGTTGTGAAAGTAGAGGATGGAGAAGATGAGGCTGACGAACTTGCGCAGCGTCACCACCAGCGTGACGGTGAGGGAGGTGCACTCCGTGGTGAGGATGAAGACGCCTCGGATGCAGACATATCTGGGTGGGCAGAGGTAAGGGGGCATTGGGGATGAAGAGGGAGGACACCTGGGCAGGCCTTCAGGAATGAAAAGGACTGGGCAATGGACAGCCCCAGTCTGGTTCCAGAGGGAATAAAATTCCCTTCTGATCAGCATTTCTACGGCTGTCAACAGCTTCACTACAAACCCCTGGGCAGCCCCTTCCAGTGCCTGACAGCCCCAAGGGGAAGGAATTGTTCCCCATGGCCAACCTC